GCCAAAGCACAGGCTAAAAATTGATCAAAACTGCGTTTAGGAAGCCACACACATTTCTATGAGGCTGTTACAAGGTATAAATAGCCGCGATGGCTACTGTTTGGCCAGAGATTACTCAACTTCTGGCTGTAATAATAACCCTAAAATAAAGATAGGTATTTTTTCTAAACTGCTAAACAGTTTGATTATTTGCCATGCCAGTGCCTCCTTTTTCCTTTGCTGACAGGCTCGTTTGGAGAGGGTATTGCTCATTCCTTCATGAAGTAATTTATAATGGAGTATCTCAGCATAATACGCCAGGTTATAACACCTCCCGGTCCAACACTTATCTAGACCTCCCCAGACTTCGTGGCTCATATTGCCTAACGCTTTCCACAGCCAAGACTACATTCTGTTTTTTTGAACACTGTTTAAAAAAAAAAAAAAAAAAGTCTTTGACAGCCAGGTACCTCTCTAATGGTTTTTCTTTTCCTCAAGAAACTGTCCTACTTCAACTTTCTGCTACTGGTACTATCATTTATTCATCACCAGGAAAACCAAGAGAAGTTGCTGATATAAGTTTTATAAGCCGTTTGACTAGAAACAGTAGTTAGTCATTTTAAAAGGAGCTACAAAACTCACTATTATTAGGTCTTTTCTCATCCATACGGTTCAGAGGACATTTTTCATCTGCTTTTACACCTGTAAGGCTGCAAAAGCCGTGTATTCCTTTGTTAACACTGCCATCGAGCTACAGGCAACTGCTTCCCACCAGCACAGAGCAGTTCTGTTCTTTAGGGGAACATGAACTACATAAATTCATTTGCCCAGGTAGCTGCCATGACCATTTTTAAAGTCTATTTTAAAGAATATTAAAAATATCAAAAAGTACGCAGAAGATTGGGGTTTTTTCTTCATTAGAAGGAAGAATGATAGATTCTGTTGCAATATCAAGGGACTGTGGTAACAAGGTAGTTTTAGCTCAAATATCATGCATTAGAAGAAGTAACCTTGCAAGTTTATTAACTATAAGTAAGAACTTTCCTGGACCACCAGACATTTTGCCATCAAGACGTATACTGGGCAAAAATTAAACGCCCTCTGACCTCAGTTCATTGAGAAATGTCAGCATTTTAAACAAATTGCTTTTTCAACCACTTTGCAACTGACAACCATTTCTCATCATACATTCTCTTCATTGTTATCTGGATTACTCAGTCACATTCAAACTGGTACCTGAGCTAAGCTAAAAGCAACGTATATGTGAACTGAAAAAGACATCCGTACAGTCTAATGCTATAAATATTCCCCCTTTTTATACTATTATTCTAGTTGTCCATACAGAAAAGGTGGACAGGAGTGGAAGCTTCTTTAAAAAAATCCCTATCTGGTCCAATTGCCAGTGTCCTTAATCTCAAAGAAAACGTTTTTTCAGTGCATGAATCTGAGTCATGGTCACATACCAGGTGTGTTTATTAAAGTCAAATAAAACCGTAACCTGGACTGATTTCAATAGCCTGACCCTGGAACTAAACCAGGATTCTTGCATTATCATGATCCACCTCTAGCATATGGACACTGTTCTTGGGACTGCTTTCTGAATACAGCAACATACCTAATAAAAGAAAATTCCACTTGCAGAGAGGCTTTGGGAGGAGAAATGTTGACTAATCATCATAATCTCTGTTCTTCCTAGTTTGTACACAAAAGAACACTTTTGTTCCCCAAGTGTTACTAATACTTAAAATACACAAGGAAGAAAAGCCCATAGCACATTCAGATTGACACATCTAGCCTGCCACGACAGACGGTTTTAAATTACAAGATAAATACTGTTTTGCTCCTAAGTTTGTGTCCAGTCATAATCAGCAATGAGGACAATATTTACAATATAATCACCTTCCTCTCATTCTATTATGTCTTATTTTATCACTTGCATCTACTCAGGTAGTATATAACACACAGTAAAATTTACACAAGGTCAGTGGGGACAAAATGCAGATTTCAGGATGATGAGTGACTCTACTATTTACTACCAAGGTTTAGAAGCAGTGTCAATAGATGCTAAGGCGCAGCTTAAGCCTACATGAAGCTTCATTTATTTCAGAAAGGCTTTCCATAGGTAAAGGGACATGGTTACACAGATTATAGAATCAGGTCTCAGTGTATTGTGATAGCTCAATCCAAAAACAATAAATGCATGAAGTAGCTCCACTGGAAGCAGGACTCTTCCAGGAAAGTCTGCTAATGACACTGCACTGTTCCACTGATGAACGAGGCTATAAAATGCTTAATTTACTTCAGAGTTTTAAGCAGCAACTCTGAGGCAAAAGAGATTTTAAAAAAAATAAAAATAAATTCATTAAGTCTTTAAGCAACATTACTAAAAATATTAAACGTGATGTTGTTAGGATGCTCCATAAATACTACCGTTTTCCAGACAGAAAAAGTGAAATTACTAATAGCTAACATGAATTTGTATAAAGTCAACATTAAAATATTACAGCTGGTAGAGAAACAGTAATCCTAACATGTCTAACATGTTTGCTTTCTGTGATCACTTCATAGCGTAACAGCTGAATAAACTATTGTAAAGAAAACAATGGAAGTATCATGTATAGTTGTATACATCCATGTTTCAGCTCCAGTAAAATGACAAACAGTTGAGTGACAAAATGCCCTCTCTACAACAATTTTCAGATTATCTCAATTGCTCTAGCACAATAAAAAAGGATGCTGTTGAAATATTACAGACAAAACCAACACTGTAGCTGGTATTGTAATCACCGTATTTACTCACCTACCTTATTTTCTGAACAATTCCTTCCTAACAGAGAAGATACTTATGATTTTACTGGAATCACATGGCTTCCAGTTTGCTACTGTCAGGAAACGCTTATATTATGATTTTACTGGAATCACGCGGCTTCCAGTTTGCTACTGTCAGGAAACTGCTACGAAGGCAGAAGTAGAAACAAGTTTTTCGCCTCTCTTTGGCTGCCTCTGATCAGATGAATTTCCACTGATTGCTTCAAATGGAGGAATAGCGAGTACTTTAACACAAGGGTTAGCTTCAGGCTCTACTTTACCCATTGGTACTATCCAGCCTGGAGATACCTGAACAGTCACGTTAACCAAACAGGCACCAGAACAATACGTTCATCAAACCTTAGGAAATGGTTTCCTAAAGGTTTTTCTGTTGTTGCTGTTGAATATAGTTGCTTCAGATATTTTAAACTTAGTGTACCAATAGTCAAAGGTAAAAAAAATGAAGCCCTAATAAGGGCAGACTAAAGGCAGCAAAAAGCTATGTAGACACCACAAACTGAAAACTCCTACCAAGCTCCTTAAACATTGCTTGTGAGTACTAAAATTGTGACTCTAGCAAACTCCAAGAATAACAAACAAAATTCAATTCACCCTAAGAACTGATGAGGGATGTTTCCTGGTCAGATAAGAACAATGATCCTTTGCCTACAAATGTATAACCAATAACACGAGTATGCTTCTTCCAATTATCTGCAAATCTATTGAAATAACAGAATCAAGTTGCTCTTTTGTCCAGCTACAAAAAGAAAATACACAGGGATGTTTTTCATTTTATATATAGCCCAGAAACTGTAACAATAGTGTACTAGCTCACTTTCCATCAAAGTGGAAGATCTTCCAACAAAGACCTTGTGTTGTATTCCTTGTGGTAGCAACATGGCTCATCCTATTAGCAGTCTGCAGGTGCTATACATCTTCAGTTACTTGCTTCTAGTCTGCCTTCAGTTTAACTAAGACAAGAGATACAGGGGGGGAAAAAAGGGTACCACAAGGCAAGCAGCAGCAAACCCCACGTGCAAAGAGCTGCTGTAAGTGCCTATAAGCATATTTTTACTTTGTGGCAAGAGACACACAAAGGTCTGTCTCACCAAGAGATAATACATCTTTAATGTCCTGGTACAGACAAATGCAGTGAGGACAGAGCAGCTGGTACATGGTACTCAGGTAATCACGTGGACATTTGCTCTCCCAGACTTCCTTTCAGTGGCGTTACCCTGCCAAAGGTAGCACCTCCTCCTCTGTTTTCACAAATTTAAGAGGGTAACACCCTCTCAACAGAAGTATTTATTTTTACAGAAAACCCAAGCACAGGCGAGACTCAGGAGCACAGCTATCAACCTATTTACCAAGTTGCCCTAACTCTTCTGCTCTTTTTGGGACTGCAAAGATCATTAGCAGGTCAGACTCAGAATTTCCTATGGGTCATGACAGCCAGTATCTGTTTAGACTTGGTGGCAGGGCACTAGACGAGGCAGTATAAACGACAGGATTTATTCAGTGTACCAACCACATTAACAGCTGGGAACACCAAAGGAACAGAGAGGTGGAGGTGAAGAGGCCAGCAAGGCCTTCTAGCACGTAGGATTACTCAAATGCTTTGAGAAGTTGTAAGGGTAGCAAACAGTCCATTCACTGAAGACAAAATTAATGACTTCAAATGACATTTTAAAACATATTTGTCATATACCTTATTTAAGCTAAGGTAGACCATCTCTGCATGTCAAATCATAAGAGCTGTTATGCAGAGTAGGGAAGGACATTTTTACATAAGAACCAGCAAAAATAGAATAAGTGCTTTCTTTCAATTAATAACCAATAAAGTGCATATGGTTGAAACGCAGAGCAGATTCATACCAATCCATGCAATTTGGCTTAGAGAGAAGTTGTCTACTCAGTTTCTTCTTTCCAAAGTGCAACCATATAAAGTATGAAATATCTATTATGAACAAGGTAGACTATACTCCCTTGGCAGAGAATTCAATGTTCTTCAATATGCTCAAGTTACCATAGAAGAAAGTCTTCTTCTGAGCTTCTGAAAGACCACTGGAAGATTGCCATTGATACAGGCCAGACTTCGAATTTTATTTTCTACGACATTACAAATATCTAACACTGAAAAGTCATGTTACGGCCAAGAGAGAAAAATACTGATTAAACTGCCCATAAATATTTTAAACAATTGCCATACCCACCTGCTACATTAAGCTTTTCGACTGCCCCTAAGCTGGGAGCAGGAGTGGTAGTATTGTTGGTAGAGTTTGCTCCTGTTCCATTAAGTACAAGATTTTCCACCTTGGACTCTAGCTTCCCAATGCGCTGCAAGATATTATCCAACAAGACAGCAAGTGTCTTCTTCAAATCTACAAATGAAAATGAAAAGTTAAATTGTTTAATAATGCAATGCACACTGTCAGACAGAACCGAAAATAGATACAAGAATGAGACTGGAATATGTATAGACACTTTCTCAGTGCAAATCTGTTTCATTAGAAGTTCATAGAATCATAGAACGGTTTGGGTTGGAAGGGATCTTAAAGATCATCTAGTTCCAACCCCCCTGCCATGGGCAGGGACACCTCCCACCAGCCCGGGTTGCTCAAAGCCCTGTCCAACCTGGCCTTGAACACCTCCAGGGATGGGGCAGCCACAACTTCCCTGGGCAATTTGTTCCAGTGCCTCAACACCCTCAGAGTGAAAAATTTCTTCCTAATATCTAATCTAAATCTACCTTCTTCCAGTTTGAAGCCACTACCCTTCGTCCTATCACTACATGCCCTTGTAAAAAGTCCCACTCCAGATTTCTTTTGGCACCCTTCAGATACTGGAAAGCTGTTTCATGCACTTCCATGCACTAATGTTCCTTATTTTGTTCAGCCTCAGATACAAGTTGCCCTGGACATGGAACTTGTCTTCCCATCTATTTTATAAAGCGCAGTGCAACTCATATACATACCCTATATTCAAGGTGAAGCACATGCCTTTATGGGTACACACAGGAACAAAAAAATGCATGCTTTGTAATAGCTCAAGTAATAAGAAGTTGCATAAATAATAATGAATCTAAACCTAAATCCATATTTAAGTATTATCAGAGGAACAGTCTGCTCAGTCACCTGGAAACAAAAATCCCCTTCCCAAAAGAAGGGATAGCTTTGAGCCAGTACAAAAACCTTCTCCTACACCTCCTCCACCACAATTAGGTTCTACACTGGCAAAAAAAAAAAAAAAAAAAAAAGTTTCTTTTCTTTAGTCTGTTGGTGATTGCCTCTGCCTATTTGGTCTGACACAGCACTTCCTTCACGTGGAAAGCAACACAGAGTAACGGAGTTTGCGTATCAAATGACAACCCAGAAAGAATACTCTGATATTTTTTTCTTTCCCTTTTCTTTTGTTCAGATTTCTTGAAGTAACATAGACAGTCGGGCAAGCTAAAAGAACTGTGGGCAAGAGGGGAAAAGTAGACCACTATCAGACTAAACTGTATAATTATAGTGGTAACAAGCCAAAGAAGATGAAAGAAAGTATTGTTCTTTGTTCATCCTTGTCCCAGGATTAAAGAATTTGCTATGATGAATTTACATTATTATCCAATTTAATTACATAAAATAATTACATGTGCATATGTATAACACATTTTCTGCTTTCCACAACTTTAGAATCAAATAACTTTCTGATCTGTAATAGAAAATTTCTTCATACATCTGAAGAGATTCCTCTGCCCCAACATCAGTTGTATTTTTGCCACACTTATTTCGCGTTCCCTTTATTTTTTTTCCATGACTAGCCCAATTCTTGTGCAAATGAGAGATTAAATAAGAAAAGGCTATTGCTTTTAGAAAGCTTCTGATTCTTTTTCCAAATAAAAGGAGAATTATATTTATTCCATGGAGCCATAAAGTAGATCTTTTTCTTTATAACTGTGTGTTTTCCTTTGTCCTTTAAAGATCAGAAGATGGAATCTTAAGCACTAATGATCTGGACTATCTTAAAAAGGGTCCAGCAGTCACTTAATGGTATAGTGTGCAGAAGAAAAGGAAAGAGAGGAAGAGTGGAACAGGGATTTAACATGAACAAAAACATGGTACAGAAGGAGGAAAAAAATATAGGGAAAAAAGGTAGTAAAAAAAAGAAAATCGGGGAAACAATGAAGAAGAAACACAGCATACATAAAGGCATACAAAGAGCATAAAGAGAAAGATGGCAAAACATTGTAATTTTTTAGCAGTGGTACCAAAACACTGATATGAGAGACTGCTCACCAAAACAGGAAAAGCAATTGGAGGCTAGTTTGAGAAGGGGAGGGCAGAAGCTCAGATTCATAATAATTTTTGTAAAACAACTGTTTACTGCTATAAAAATCTAATACTATGTATATTTGGACTACAACTTTTAAAAGGAAAGTGTTTGATCTGCCTGACAGGTCAATATATGGTAAAAAGAAAAAATGAGCAAGCTGTGCAATCACAATTAAGGAATGATTGAAAACCTTTTGGGTGGGTAAAAGCAGTCAAATCAAGCAAACTTAAAACTTATTCTTGAACATGGAAATCATGACTGTGCATGCTAATAGCAATCGAAGGATAAGACTAAAATAAATAAAAAGGCGAAATAGCAAGGGCTTTAATTTTCATAGAACAGTGAACCAATTTCTACCCATTATCATTAACATTAATTATTAATGCATTTATTCCTGAACTGATAATCTGATAATTTGCTGTCAACAAATCATTTAGTATGCCAAACTGGACAAACTAACTTAGTTATTAAGTAATTATTATCTTACTTAATTTCATAAAGTATTATTTAATATGGTGTTATTCACTCACCATAGCACCATTCACTCTAATATTCTAAAAAATATATAGCATTCTTTCGCATCTTTCCAAACTCCATAATTGAAAACACCCGTCCAAACTTGTCCCTAAACTTCAAATTCTTCTTAGCCAGGGAACTTGAAATTTCTAAACAAAGCTTAGCTTTACCTCCACAGAAGCGTTATGAAGTTATTCCACCCACTTTCAAATGCAATTTAACTTCTCCTGGGGAACCTGACCACTGTTTGGCTGCAAGTCAACTTACTCCTCAGCAGGATTTGGGACAGGAAATGAAGGCCACCAGCAACAAGCTGCAGGGGGAACTTACCTTATGGATATTCTGTACCCTCAGACCTAGTTAGGGCACAGATCAATGCAGTAATCCTTCAGTTTCTTGAGACATATTGGTTTTGTTTGGTTTTTGGATTTTTGTTTGTTTGGGGTTTTTTTCTTCTTTAATTCACCTACCATCAAGCACCCTTACAAGATAATGGGACACTGATGATGGCTTTATAGCAGGTAGGGTTTTGTTTTAAGCCTACGCACACAATTCTCTAGGGACCTCTACGTGCTTGGAGGTCTTCAAACTAAATATTGATGTAGTACCAATCTATTTAGCTTGTTTTGCTTTGTACGATTACCATACCTGTATAGCCCAACATGCAGTCACAAATCAGCAGAAGTTATAAAACAAGGATGTGTGCTGGTTTTGGCTGGGATAGAGTTAATTTTCTTCATAGTAGCTAGTATGGAGCTATGTTTTGGACCTGTGCTGAAAATTGTGTGGGTAACACAGGCATGTTTTCGGTACTGCTGAGCAGTGCTGACGCAGAGCGAAGGCCGCCTCTGCTCCTCACCCACCAGCGAGCAGGCTGGGGGCCCCCAAGATGTTGGGAGGGAACACAACCGGGACAGCTGACCCCAACTGACCAAAGGGATACCCCATACCATATGACATCATGCTCAGTATATGAAGCTGGGGGAAGAAGGAGGAAGGGGGGAATGTTTGGAGTTATGGTGTTTGTCTTTCCGAGTAACTGTGTGTGATGGAGCCCTGCTTTCCTGGGGATGGCTGAACGCCTGCCTGCCCATGGGAAGCTGTGAATGAGTTCCTTGTTTTGCTTTGCTTGCATGCACAGCTTTTGCTTCACCTGTTCGACTGTCTTTATCTCAACCCACGAGTTTTCTCATTTTTACTGTTCTGATTCTCTCCCCCATCCCACCAGCGGAGTGAGCAAGTGGCTGTGTGGTGCTTAGGCGGTGGCTGGGGTTAAACCCCAACAGGACTGCTTGTTATTTAAGCAACAAAGCAATATGATTGTGAGCTATGTTTGGGATGATAATCTCAGGCTTACGGGCAAGCACCTTCACACGAACAAAAAACCTATTTTTTTAGAGGAAAAAAGGGATAACAGAAACAAGACATGGAGAGAACCTCCCAGCAGGATATTTTCATCACATGCACCAAAAAGTAAAGAGTATTAAAAGAAAACTAGAGAAAAAGGTCCAGCCATTGTCTGTTGCATCATAGTCTTTATTCTTTGTTTAAACCTACAAAAGACATCTATCCAATTTCTTCAGAGCTGAAAATTAAGGCAACTATAAAAGAAAACAAATCTAGATGACTAATTAGCCACTAACTTTCCAGATAGCCTGAAAGTACATAGGTAAGTAGGAAAGAAAGTGAGTTTAAAAAATGCTAAACAAGGCACATGATGTGATCTTATCAGACTGAAAAGGGGCCACACCTAACCTGAAATAGGATTGTATTTTGATTTTCGTAATATTTTCTTGCAATATGCTTCATTCTTTTCTGCATGTTCTCTCTCACACATGCACACAAACTTAACTCTCACGTACAAGATGGAAGAGAGTAAGCAAGAGAGTAACCATTAAAACTTACTGCTGAATAAAGCACTGAAACTCACGAAGAGAGTCCTCTACCCTGAGGCAAATATGATCTATTTAAGCTTATTTAAGCTTATGCCAGATACATAAACTTAAACATTAAGTAAATTGACTGAACAAAGAAGTTAAATGGGAAAGAAGAAGATCTAAATGTAGCAGGTCTCCACTTTATCAGTAGGGCAAGTTCTTCTTTCAAAAGGAATTTCTTACTTAGATCACTGACATGCAAACCGAAAAGCCTCCCAAATTTCTCAAAAACAGCAAATAACATTTTGTTAAATGAAGTGCTAACAAATAACCTGAGGCATACCAGTTACAGCTACTAGACAGATGTACTAAAAATTAGTAGACAACTTCATTTCCAAGTGACTGGGAATGTAAAATTTATCCCATCTCATACTTGGAAGTGAACGCTGTTTTCTCCATCTATGCAGAAAATCCACGGTGCAAAGCATTGTCAATTGAGCAGCGCTATGAAGTAAAATGTTTGGACAACTCAGAAAAAAACTTAATCAGATTACCATATAATCTAGAGCACACACTTACCATATGCTGTCACTGTCCCAACATAAGGCCCATCAACCACATTTTTATTTTCTTCGGCTAATGCTTTGATGTATCTTTTGCTGAGATCCAAAATTTGCTCACGCAGGACTGTACTGCTTTCATGTTGTGTTTGCTGCTGAATAGTGAAATGCAGAAGCATCATTCCCCAAATGAAACCAAAAGTCACCAAGAAAAAGCCGAGTTTCTGAGAGGAAAGCTTCCATGGAGAGAATGCCATGATTCCCAACAGCTTCACACAGTTACTACACAAGGTTCCTAAAGCATGAAGCCAAACAGCAAGTCCATGGTCCAGGTACACAAATATCACAGAGCAGGACTCAGTCTTATTCCAACTCCTTAGTCAACGTATATCCGTATTTCAGATCCATCCTGTTGCAAGAGGAAAGAAAAGCAGCATAGTTACCACAAGATATTAGGTTTTACTAACTATACTAGGTCTTTGCTCTAACCGGTACAGAACAGGAGTAGACAATACGCTTTCTTTGTAAATGTTTAATTTGTATGTATCAACATTGTACTGTACTAGCCAGAGAACAAAGAAGCTGAGAAAAGCACTGGAAAGAGAACAAAGAGGGTGCGATGTGCCTGAGCAGGTGTAGAACACCTCTCGGTATCTGGATCCAATTCAATGCTTGAAGCAGTTTCTAAGCTGAATTTCAAGGTAAAGCTGCTTTTACATATTCTTTTTTTGTGTGTGTGCACACAAAACTTTGTGATGTTGCCAGTGCAGCAACTTAAGACAATTCTCAACATAATTCAGTTCTCAGAAAACAAGTAATTTTAGCTGGCAGTGACACTGCTCGGAGTTCCTGGCAAGAGCTACGGCATATGGCTAGATAGGTGATCAGGAAATCAGACTCCCTCAGGGGTAAAGAGGAAAAAAGAAAACTACATTATTTAAGCCAATACAGTCTCCTGCCTTACAGCGCAAGCAGTCGGAAGGCTGGAATCATCTCCTCTTGCTCCTGTGTGGCCTCTGCCATGCATCGTTACTCCTTATTCGTAACACACAGTCCAATGAGTTCGCTCTTTGCAACCAAATTCAAAACACATATTTCTGAATGCTACAACATGTCTTTTGTATATAAAATTATTATTCTCAGAGCTTTTCACGCACTAGGGAAAAAGAATTGTAATAACAGCCTTCAAGACAGCGTAAGACCATCTTTTCACGGTAAAATCAAAGATAAAACCTGGCATACACAATCCAAAGGCAAGAAAAGCTCTGTGATGAGGGCTAGAGGCAAGGTCCTTAGCATAAAATCCAACGAGAAGAAAGGTAATTAAAAGGTAATTAAGTGTAACCTATCATGTTAAAATACAGATTTGGTAAAATGTTATCCTTTTAACTCCATAATGCTCCCAGACAGGATTAGGGAACATAATGTTCCCTTCCATTCTGCACTTGCACAGATAATGCAGATGTTACTCTGTTTTAATAGGATAATTACACAGATGCCTGCTAGCAGTGCTCCCTGTTTGTTAAAATTCCCTTTAGATCTTCTGTTTTCAGTTGAACCAGCAGTTTTATAAAGGGACAGAAATACCTTTGGACCACTTATCTTCCAACACGTCCTGTGTGTGCTTTTCGCATTATTGAATGCTATCGAGTGTAGAAGTGGATGTGCATTACATGGTAAACTAAAAGCAGACAAGGCAGCGACTCTACTATGCATTTACATTGCTAAAAGAACAATTTGTAGCCATCTTTCGCTTAAGGAGGAATGGTGCAGCGAAATGAATTGCAAGTACGGTGAAAAAGATTATAAAGCCCTTGAGCTGACTTTTTCCACACTTAAAATAGCTCAATAAAGAAAATGAATGGTCTCAACAGAGAAAATGAAGGACTCTGTTTAGTGCTGCTCTCCATAAACTTAAGTTAATTTTCCGAGAAACAGCAGAGGGAAGTTTTACTTCTTTCAGTTTATATAACTATAGCCTTGGGACACTCTTGGACTGACTAAAAAGTAGAGTATTGTTATTTCATTAAAAACTGAATGTTTTACTGCTCTCTTGCAATATCTGGTGTGATAAAATACAGAAAATTCCATATTTTAAAACAACATAACTTTAAAAAGAAATCTGAAATATTCAGGCTTAATTCCCTCAGTGATTTAATTTCAAGTAAGAATTGACAGCATCCTTTACAGCAATAAGATCTGTGGCTATAACAGTCAGTATTTCTTCCCCGATTATCAGTTGTTTGTGAAGTGGAAAGCACTGAGTAAGAAAGCAAACCTATCACCACTGTGTTTTAACAGACAAGTGCTAATGATTTTTTTATGACAAGTTGTTCAGGAAAAAATCTGCAGAACACAATTAACATTAAAAACAGCAATAAAAAATACAAGTATTTCACACTGTTCTTTTTAGAGTTCTAGAAAAAGGATGATTACAAAAAACAGTGTATGTCTAACCTATGAGTATGATCTACTTAAATACAGCTGTTGACTTTTCTATTCTGTTTACCAGCAGAAAAAAAGCCTTAAATCCACTCAAAAACTGTAAGAAGGCAGACAGGAAAAGTTCTGCCACAAGAAAGGATTAAAATTCATCGACAGATGGAAGAAGGGACCATACTTATTTCAAGTGCTAAAAGCAAAAAACAACCACCAAAAACCCCAAACACGACAAACCAGCCCTATTTTTATTGCCATTTAAGCAATTCCATTGGCTAGCAACTTGATGAATGCCCAACAACATGTACTTAACTAATTAACTTTCCAGCACTGCTGGTGGCCATGGAGGTTTGTAAATTGCACAGGAGAAGACTCCGTCCTTCCCACCGCTTCCATGGCTGGATGAACACCCGCACCCACTTCGGTGTATGTTTAATCCTAGATTTGACAGTTGTCAAGGACTGCAACACAACTATTTAATGGTTAATGATTACCACATACTGATAATGACTCATTATTTGGTATCTACGTGGACAGTGGTCAGAAAATATCAAGGCCGGCAGCACAGGAACATCTCTGTGGTATTTCTGTTTTGACAGGAAATTAATAACTGAAGTGAGCAACAGTCGAAGCAATAAACACCCATTTGTCTGCTGTGATCACTCATGGACTTCCACAGTGCCTGCTGACTAGTTATATCTCTGCCCACCCCAATTAAGCCATTCCCAAACTTAATGTGGTAGCATATTTCCCTTATTTTCCCCCTTGCCTTCGGAACGTTCTCAAAGGAGCCGATCCTGTTAACTACGAAGGCCTTTTCCCATTCCAGTCTCCAAAATGCACAATGGGAGTCATATCTAAAGAGGATATGGAAACACACACTTGCACACGCTGCTAAAGAATGACAGGTTTTTTGTTGGGTTTTTTTTTTTTTTTCTAGCTTTGGAAAGAGGTGGTCTCACTCTAAGACAACTCTTGAAATCATTCCAGCACCCCTCTGGAAACTGGATATCTCATAGTTGTGAAGTTGTTTGTGAAACCGTTAGGAAGATAATTCCTCCTGATTTACTGAGAATAGCTAATGTACCAAAACTAAATGCCAAGTGTGAAAAACAGGGTGAAAGTGAAAAGATATCCAAGGCAAGAAAACCTTTAATAAAGAACAGCTTTGTTATGTTTTTCCTTAAGTTCAGCTCTAACCAGCCAAAATCTCACTGCAACTGAACACACACACACCGGTGTTTTGTTCTGGTTTGGGTTTTTTTTGTTGTTTTAAACAGACCAGTTACACCCTTTGCGATAAATATACCACAATTCAAAACAGAACTGCCTCTACCCTTAACAACGATTAGCATAATTCTTTGGAAAAGGGCTAACCTTATACCCATTTGCACAGGCATAAAACTTAACAGTCTTAGTACTTTTAGTATTTCAAACAGCTTCATTAAAAACACATTCTTTCTGTTCTAAATTTAATAAAATCCTGCTCAAACAGATGGTCAATTCATTAGTTACAGAGGATAACATTACCATGCCTACGCATCACAACAAAAAAACCCCTCACGCTATTTAGAATCGTATCAGGAAAGTATCTGAATGCTGAAGTGATCCGTTCATCGGGGACGTAAACCACACATTTCTCAGCATTTTAAGCCTTTTTTTTTTTTTTTGACCAGTTACACCCTTTGCGATAAATATACCACAATTCAAAACAGAACTGCCTCTACCCTTAACAACGATTAGCATAATTCTTTGGAAAAGGGCTAACCTTATACCCATTTACACAGGCATAAAACTTAACAGTCTTAGTACTTTTAGTATTTCAAACAGCTTCATTAAAAACACATTCTTTCTGTTCTAAATTTAATAAAATCCTGCTCAAACAGATGGTCAATTCATTAGTTACAGAGGATAACATTACCATGCCTACGCATCACAACAAAAAAACCCCTCACGCTATTTAGAATCGTATCAGGAAAGTATCTGAATGCTGAAGTGATCCGTTCATCGGGGACGTAAACCACACATTTCTCAGCATTTTAAGCCTTTTTTTTTTTTTTTAAATGCTTAAAATAGAGTACAAACAGTTAATCTTCATGTGCACAGATTTTGGCAACCCATATCCATGTGTTCCTCTTCACTTTTTAAAAAGGGGAATTAATCATCTGCAAGAGATTAAGCACAGTCTCTTTCTAAGTATGTACATATACAAAGCTGGATGCGGTCTGTCCAATCTGTACCCATATAAGAAATGGTACTTACTCAGGGTAAACTTGGAACAGCACTATCCCGAGGACAGTCAGGATTCGACTGTTCATCAGCTGAACGCACTGTTCCTCACTAGCTGCACAAATATAAAACCTTACCTGTCTGTAGCCAAAGTAGAAGCTGTTGCACCCATAAAAGTACCAGCAGATTGAGCAGTATTTAATTATTAGCCTGTTATGAACTCAAACATAAGCAAACTTACACAGCATGACTGGTAGGCAATGTATATGCATTTTTGTACCAAGTGGCTCAGTAAAAATAGTATCGCTACTGCTAGGAACAGGCCTCAGGCCTTATCCCAACTGCCTTCCTATGCCAAATGCGCAATTCCGGCCTCTTATGCTGTGAAATCATTAGGAGAACTTGTTGTGTGAGCTAGCACTGGGTACCAGGTGCCTCTTGCTATGGCGTACAGCTTACAGATAAGAACACAGACCTTGAAAATACGGGCACAGGTCAAAAGCAGAGGCCCCAGAGCTGTAAGCAACTCGGAGACGGTCATTTATTAGTCACTGATGAAGTGCAACCTTGAGATTGAGAAAAAAACCTT